TCAATCCATAGAGACAGAATGTAAATTAATGGTTGTCTAGGACTGGGGAGATGAGGGGGAAATGGGGAGTGACTGTTAATGGTACAAGACTTCTTTTAGGAGTGATGAAATGTTTTAAAACGGATTGTGGTGACAGGTGCACAACTCAGTGAATAGACTAAAAACCACTAGAGTCTACACTTTAAATGGGTTAATTGTATGGAATGTGAGTTACAGCTCAGTAGAGCTGTTAATTAAGAAAAACAGACCAAGAGAAACTGTAACATACTGATTTTGTCCTTTAGAGTTTTGATAATCAAGATTTTTTTTGCCTGATTATTATTTCAAAACATATACTGCACTGATGCTAATGTATTATTCATCTTGATTACTGAGTTTTTTGCTACTTTCTTAGATTTTGTGCCCAAGGCCAGTGCTTCATTTGCATCACCCTAGAAGCCCTGAATTGGGTGTGGTAGCAAAGACATAATCCTTTAAAGAGCCTTCCCTGATCCCCAGAGTGTCAGCTGGAGGCTCCCTCCCACATTCCTCAGTTTTCTCCCCCTCCCTCGTAAACTGAGTTGTCAAATACAGGCACCATTAACTCTCTTGGTGCTCTTTTGCTGCTCCTTCATACACACTTTCTCCCACTGGCTTCACATATGCATTCGTATATGTGTGTGTGTAATTATGAAGAACAAAGACGATTCTGCAAAAATGAAAGTGGGCAACTGCCCCAATTTTCAAAAAATGAGAAGAAAGCAGATTCTACAAAGTATAGACCAGTGAGTATGAACTGATCTCTAGATTTCCCAAACTGGATTATTTCACAAGTTTATAAACATTCAGAAAGCAAAGCTGTTTCCAATAGTAGCCAGTATAGTTTCGCTAAAGCCAAGGAATGTCAAATGAACTTCATTACCTTTTTGGACACAGTTATTAGACTACAATAATAGATTCAAGGACTTGCAAAACACAGTGAATACTTAGACTTTAGTAATGCATCCAGCAGTATCTGTACATCATTGCTAACAGGATAAAGAAATATAGGCAAAATGATTGCATATTTGGAAGAGTTGTAGCTATATGATCAATGGTATGTGAATTTAATTCACTCTAAATAAGCTGGTGTGTGCATACTAGGTTGCTTCATTCGTATCCGACTCTTTGTGATCCTATGGACCGCAGCCCGCCAGATTCCTCTGTCCATGGGATTCTCCAGGCAAGAATACTGGAAAGGGTTGCCGTTTCCTCCTCCAGGGGATCTTCCCAACCCAGGGATCAAACCTGCATCTCTCACATCTCCTGCATTGCAGGCAGATTCTTTCCTATCTGAGTCAAAATAGTAAAGCAGCTGCAAGAAAGATTAAGTTGACCTTGGGCTCCATCCATGTTCAAATGTCTGAATGCCCTGCTCTACTCTTCAGCGGGTTTCCCAGGAATATGGTGCTCAGGTATTGGGGTTCCACTTTTTAAGGTGACACCACCAACCAAGTGTCCCTGTTGGCACAGTGTAAAGAATCTGCCTGCAATGCAGAAGACACGGGTTCCATCCTTGGGTTCAGAAGATTCCCTGAAAAAGGAAACAGCAACCCACTTCAGTATTCTTGCCTGGGAAATTCCATGAACAGAGGCGCCTGGTGGGCTACAGTCCTGCAGTCCATGGGGTAGCAGAAGACCCAGCTGAGCGACTAAACAACAACCAAGTGAAGTGCTTCCAGAGGACAACAAGGCAGAGAATCAAAAGCTTACAAATCATGCTTAATTAAAAAAAAAATCAAGGCCGGGTCTTTAGTGCACAGTAGTGAAGCTATAGGGGAACATGGTAGCTACTTTGAAATATTTGAAGGACTCAAAGGAAACGAGAAACAAAACCGGAATCAACTTAATGAAATCCAGAAGGGCCGAATTAAAGCCAGACAATAGAAGATTAAAAAAAAAAAATCAGCTCAACTGAAAGAAGAGTCCCTCCCTTGAGCCTGAGCAGTCCACCCAGTCCAATGACCTGCCTTGGGAGGTAGACAGTTACCTCCAAAGAAAGCTTTCAAGTTAGAAAGCCTCACTGGGATACTGTAGATTGGGATTTAAGTAATTAGAGGAGGTTGGAGCCCATGTTTTACTGGGTTGCTTCCAAATCAGAGATACTATGAATCTGTGTTTCTTGTCTTCTCTCCCTTCTAGCCTTTCACACCCTTTCTACTGCACTGAGTATTTGAAAGATGTTCTTAAGCCATAACCCACGGTTTTGACCTATTCCATTCCCCTAACACTGCTCTCCAGCCCTCCTCCCTTCCTGCCTTCCTCCTTGTTGCCATTTTCCCTCTTCTCTCTTGAGGCTGACACAGTACAATGCTTCATGCTCTTCCCACAACTCCCCGCTGAAACTAGGTTATGTGAGAAAAAAAGAATAGGAAAAAAAAAAAAGGACAGAATAATAGGAACTGAAGACAGCACAGTGTGCCTGTTACGCTCTGCTGTGAAAACTCTAACACTTGCTGACTTTGGGATGCATGCAGACATTCATGGAACTGACTGGATCGGGTTCACGTGAATTAGCCTCAGCAGTGTCTACACACACTGTTATCTTTCTGCATAACACTCAATGCTTGTAACATATTCCATGTCTGTTTGCCCGGCTCTACCACTACATTGCAAAGGCCAGACCATGACAGCCTGGCTTCTGCTGTATCCCCATGGAGGCGCTCCACTGCTCGCAATTAAATAAATGAAGACTTTCTCTTGGGACTTCCCTGGTGGTCCAGTGGTTGAGAAGCCACCTGCCAATTCAGGGCACACAGGTTCGACCCCTGGTCTGGGAACTAAGACCCCACATGCCACAGTGCAACTGAGGCCTGAGCTGCAACTACTGAAGCCTGAGAGCCCTGGAATCTGTGCTCCTCAACAAGAGAAGCCCACCACAAAGAGAAGCCCCGGCGCCTTAACTAGAGAGTAGCCCCCACTGGTCGCAACTAGAGAATGAAGTTGCAATGAAGAAGCAATGAAGACACAGCGCAGCCAAAAATAAAAAAATTTTTTTAAATAAGAATTTCTCTTATCTTTCCCCCTACATCTAGATTGATTAAGACTATGCTGATGAAAGTCTTGCTTAAGAATAGAGTGCACAGAACTTGAGAGTTAACAGAAATGTCAGGAAAGACCTGGCATAACCATCCCTACCCCACCCCACCCCCATTTGACAGATGAATAAACTAAGGCTGCTGCTGCTGCTGCTGTAAGTCACTTCAGTCGTGTCTGACTCCGTGCGACCCCATGGACTGCAGTCCACCAGGCTCCTCTGTCCGTGGGATTCTCCAGGCAAGAGTACTGGAGTGGGTTGCCATTGCCTTCTCTGAAACTAAGGCTTGAGAGAGGAAATACTGGGGAAGTAGCAGAGCTGGAAATCCAAACGAACTCTTTTGGTTTCTGAGACACAGAGTGTCATAAGAATAGAAAACCTGGTCTGGGAGCCACCTGAAGCTGGACTCCAATATGCCAAGTCTTCCTCTTACAAATGCCATGATTTTGAGCAAGTTAATCAGGGTCTCCAAGCCTGTCTTTAGAAGTGAATGGGAAAGATGTTACCTTCCACCACGTCACTAGCACACAGAATATGCTCAGTAAGTGGGAGCTTTGATAACTATTATCAAGTCCAGAGTTCTGTCCACCACAACAGGAGTCCCACTCCCGGGGACTGAGGATCTGTGCTATCCGCTGCCTGTTGAGAACCAGTCAGCACAGCACAAGTGAGCAGCTGGCGAGCGAGTGAAGCTTCATCTGCCACTTCCCATCGCTCCCATTACCTCCTGAACCATCCCCACCACCCCCACCCCCACCCATGGAAAATTTGTCTACCACGAAACCAATCCCTGGGCCATAAAAGGTTGGGGACCGCTGCCATACAATACACAGGCCCTTGGCTTTGTGCCTACAGGAAAAGCCATTCGTCTGTGCTAAGTGAAGAAAAAGGTGGTCACACAGCAGCCCTGAATGCCTGCTGTATGCTTTTCCATTCTTAAAGCATGGAGGAATGATTTCCCTGGTGGTCCAGAGGCTAAGACTCCGTGCTCCCGATGCAGGGGGCATGGATTCAACACCTGGTTGGGGAACTAAGCTCCTGCATGGGGCACAGAGTGGCCTAAAAATAGTTACTAAAAAATAATAAAACACAGAGGAGAGACATTCAAAGGATCAGAATAACTGTCATTCACACAGATGCCCTCTTTCAGCTGGGAGCACATGGCCAAGAAGGAAAATCCATTTCATTCAAGTTTAGTATCTTTTGTGAGTCTTTCCTTTGGATAGTTAACCTTTCTTCTCAATTCTCTACATTAGGGGGCTTCCCCAGTGGTTCAGCCCTGCGTTTGATCCCTAAGTCAGGAAGATCCCGAAGGAGGAATTCTCCTCCAGTATTTCAGTATTCTTGCCTGGAAAATTCCATGGACAGAAGAGCCTGGCGGGTCACAAAGTCGGACACAACCGAGAGTGCATGTACATCCTGCGTTAGGGCCACTCATGTAGAGAATAACAGAGACTCATTAAGTATATACTGCGCTGCGCTGGGCTTAGTCTCTCAGTCAGATAGACTGACTCTTTATGACCCCATGGACTGTAGCCTGCCAGGCACCTCTGTCCATGGAGATTCTCCAGGCAGGAATACTGGAGTGGGTTACCATGCCCTCCTCCAGGGGATCTTCCCAACCCAGGGATCGCCAGGTCTTCAGCATTGCAGGCAGATTCTTTACCATCTGAGCCACCGGGGAAGCCCAAGAATACTGGAGTGGGTAGCCTATCCTTTCTCCAGGGGATCTTCCCGACCCAGGAATCGAACCAGGGTCTCCTGCATTGCAGGTGGATTCTTTACAGCTGAGCTACCAGGGGAGCCCAAGTATATACTACCTTCCAGCTATTCTGGCTGGTCCTTGAGGGTCCAGGGCAGGGAAGATGTCCAGTTCAGAAGTCCATCACTGAGGGAACTCAAGACAACAGGGCATGTTGACAAAGCCCCCTTCCCTTACAGCTTGCTTCCCTGCCTCCGAACTGCTGCTTCTGATGTTCCCAGACCAGCGCCTCACTTCCCTGGTGACAGAGACCCCTTCTCCCCTTTTGGGATGATGTTACTGCTGAGATGTCACGCTCCAGAGGCCCTGTGACTCAGTTCCTCCCACGGAACCTCCCTGTTTCCTGCAGGCGGCGCCTTCCCAGCATTAATGCTTGGTCTACCCAGAATGTCCCATCAAACTGGAGATTGATCATGCGGTTTGCACAAGTGAGATAAATTCTGGAATTTGGCTGCCGACGTTTTGAGCCATTTATCTTTGGATTTTCATAACAGCTATCATCCTGGTGTGACACGGATAGACAAGACAGAGGAGGTGCTTCCCAAGATAAATCAGCCTAAAGGAAATGAATGCAATAATTTTATCTTATTGGATCTATTTACTATACTGTCGGAGGAATTTGGAAGCTGAGAAGAGGAACGGTCGAAGGGAGGTGAGGTTTATTTGTCAAGGTAGACACTGGGGTTCTTTTAGAGCAGTTCTTGGGAATGATCAAGAAGTAGAAATGGGTGTGAGGGAAAATGATCACACTGGTTAATATGGCAGGTGGAATCCCACGTAAATTTTGTGGGTGTAATAGTTGCAGAACTGAATTGCAAGAATAGTGAACTGCAATAATTCCATACGTGTTACTTTAGTTAAGTAGCAGTTACTGAGTTTCCAAAATCCCATGGTAATTCTAAAACACAGCAAGACTTGGACACAGGATGAGCAGAGATAGCAGCCCAGACACAATCCCTGGGGGAGGAAAGAATTCAGATTTAAAGGACTTGGTCTAAGTCCCTCACTTCCCTTAACCCAGAAAGTTCCTGTTCCTTCAACTGCCACGAGACACTGCCCTTCCCCATCTGGCTTTGTCTCTTCTAACAGCTAAGAGACGTGTTCACCTCTTTGCTTTTTTTTTTTTTTTTAATTTTTGGTTGTGCTGCCCATGGGCTCAATAGTCGTGGTTCATGGGCTTAGCTGCCCCAAGGTATGTGGGATCTTCCCAGGCGAGGGATGGAACGCATGTCCCCTGCACTGGCAGGTGGACTGCTAACCACTGAGCCACCAGGGAAGTCCCCTGCTTTTCTTGGGGTTGGGTATTTTACCACCTCTACTTCCGGGCACAGGCTGCTATTAATGGAAAGCAGTCTAATCTCCAAGCCTCTGATAGAGATAAACCTCTGTGGCACACACTGTAGGTTGGCTACTTCAACACTCATTTCAAATGCCCTCTTTCCCTGCCCTTCTGTATTATGGAAGCTGAAAAGAATAAACACTTTTTTCAGCCTCCTTTGCAGCCAGTGGTGGGTCTTTCCAGCTCTGGTCAATGAGACAGGAAGGCAAGTATCCTGGGAAGCTTCTGGAAAATCTAGGCTTCCTTAAAAACGGACAGACAGCACTGGCACCACCACATTCCCCTTCTCTCCACCTTCAACATGAACTTGGTATGTGAGCTGGAACAGCCTTCTCACGACCACAAAGTAACAGTGTGAGGATCAAAGGCAAAACTGGAGAGGATGGTGTAGTGGAAATGACCCTGGGTCTTCAACTGCCTAAACCAATGCCAGGAACCACGTTTCTCTGGCCTTCTTATTGCATGAAAAATATCATCACATAATTTGTGTAAGCTGATACTGATTTTTTGGTAAATTGAAAACAGATACTTCTAATCGAGCTACTTTCTTGACACAATCATTTGCAACCAGACTAGATCTGCACATAAATATGATTATGACATTACCTTGCTCAAATTCCTCAATAGCCTTCCCTTGCCCTTAGAATAAAGTCTAAGGATCTTAGCACGTATATAAGGTCCCTTGTAACCTTATCAAGTGCACCTACCAAGACATCTTATCTCCTTCAAACCACCTCTCATACTTTACTTGTGTAAATCTAAAACCCTTAATGCTTCCTATGGAAACCATACCTTCTTTGGCCTCTGTCTCTTTGCTTAGGTTTTCTCTGCCTAGAAGGTTCTCCCCACTTTTCTTTGCCTGTACTCTCTTTGTCTTTTATGGCTGTGCCAATTCGAACACAGGATCTTAGTTCCCCACCAGGGATGAAACTTGTGTACCCTGCAGTGGAAGCCCGAGGTCTTCACCATTGGACCATGAGGGAAGTCCCTGCTCTCTATTATCCTTCAATGGATCCTAAACGAATAAGCATCAGCTCCTCCAGGAAATGTTTCTCCACACTCCCAGGAGGGCTGGGTGCCCCTCTTCTCTATTACTAAAGCACCTGTACATATTTCTGTCATTGTCCTACTCCTATCAGAGATGAACTGTCTGAGTGCAAATCTTAACTTCTTCCCTAAAGAGTGAATTTGTCAGACAACAGGGCCTATGACTTGACTCTTCTTTACTTTAGTAAAGAAGCAAGATTTTTTTCTTTACTTTTTCTTCTTTGTAATTTCTTTACTTACTTTTTCTTTAATTTACTTTTTTACTTTACTCAACCCAGCCCTAATATTTAACAAAGAGTCTGGGCACAGGAGATGCTACCGTGCTTCAGATGTACATATATGCACACATATACATATATGTTACTGAGTGGGCACATTTTTGTCTCAAATATTCATTCATTTATTCATTTTTATGAAAGAGAAGAAGAAAAACTTCAATAATCCAAAAGTCCTAAGTCATGAAGATAGAAATCTGAAGAAAAACAGCCAAATAGAAATCTCTTTAGAGTGTTGTAAACACAACAATGTGTTCACGTGCTTGAGGAAAAAGATGGTTCCAAAGATAAATGAACAATCGTTGCCATACAGTCATCATCGAGGTGAGCTTACGGAAAATATGGACTTACAAGTTTAAGGGCAGAGAACTGAGTTGGGGGGGAGCAGGGAGGGTATGGGAAGGAGGTAGTAAATGCACCAATGAAAACAGTCAGTTTTTAAAAGTTGTTCTCATCCAGGTATCATTAGAATATGATGCTATTATATCCCAGTGGACTGGCAGGGCTCCCCTCTGTCTTTGCAACAAAAAGTTGTGATGTCTTTTCTTTCCAATTTCTTCTGTTTCTTCTTCTGTCTATAACCTACATCTTCAAGAATGTTTAGCCCACTTTGAGAAAGCAGAATTTTGGATTAATTCTCTGCCCCTATTACTAGTATTTTCATTCTCCTCTGCTTTGGCCACTGACCCTGTAAAATGGGCAGTCTGTACTGTGGTGACCATCATCTCTCCTTTTGCTCATTATTCCCCTGCAATAGGGCTGCTGTCCCACTGCATTATAGAAATGTGTTTGTTCTCTGAGATCACCGACGGACCAGTCATCAAATTCAATCATCAAATTCCTCTTGGTCTGCAGTCTCCTTTCTTCTCTGCTGCATCTTAACACCCATCATACCCATGATCCCCTTTCCTCCTCACTTTCTTCAAACTCTCTACTTCTGAGCTTTGGTGACTTGACAGTAACCGAATTCCCCAATCAGTTGTTCTTTGACTTAAAAAAGATACATTTATTTGGTTGCACCAAGTCTTAGCTGTGGCACACAAGATCTTCAGTTGTAGCATGCAAGTCCTTAGTTGTGGCATATGGGATCTAGTTCCCTGACCAAGGATCAAACCTAGGCACCCTGCATTGGGAGGGCAGCATTTTACCCACTGGACAACCAGGGAAGTCTCTGACTTTTTCATAGGCTTTCCTTCTTCCCCCATCCCTTAAACATTGGCATTCTCCATATAGATAAATGAATGTCTTTGTCAGAGGAACACCTACCCCTCCACGTGAACTCCAGAAAAACTTAAGATAGGGGGACATGACAGAGGCAACCAGTTTGAAAATTTGTCAGAAAAGGTTTTAAAATCCATCGATAACTCTCAGACAACAGAGTGAATATTTTGAGTCTACAAGAGAAGGTCCCAGCTCCTGAGCCTGACATCAGTGAGGCTATAATCTATATGTTCAACCTTATCTCTCACTCTTTTCCTCCAGAACACCTCCGAAGAGTAGACATTCATTAAACATCTCTTTTTTATAAATTCAAATTTCATTATTTGCTTGATGTGGGAAATATCTAAATAAAATAATTGAGGAAAATCAACTTTGTTTTATGTAAACTATAAAAGGCCAAGCAAATCATGTTTAATAAAATGAACAATTTTAAAAGCCAACATATAATGTCTGTCTCCCAGAGAGGCCCTGGATATATAATAACTTTCACTCTGTCTTTTATTAACAATGTTTGGGCATATTAATTTTATCTTTTTTCATGTTATTTTTAAAGCAACAATGGAGGTAAGAAAATATCCTTTACTCTTGAAAATATTTTTGGCATGGTCTTAGCTGCTAAGTTGTGTCTGATTCTTTTGCAATCCCATGGACATAGCCTACCAGGCTCCTCTGTCCATGGGATTTCCCAAGCAAGAACACTGGAGTGGGTTGCCACTTCCTTCTCCACATCAAACATCTCATCAAACAGATGAGCACACAAAACTTTCATTCATGGATAATACCATCTGCCCCAGCCCCAAATATTCTCTACCCTTCAACAATATAACATGCCTAGAACTTGCTCATCCTTGTTTTGTTCATATCACCCTCTTTGTCTGAAACATTTTTCCCACTTATTTTTCATCTATGTAAACCTTGCCCACTGTTCAAGGTCCCATGTGAGTTTTGCTTTCTTGGAAACCTCCCCTCCTTATTAATACAATATTTATTATGCTTCACATATTGGGTATTTAGTGTATTCTTAAATATTTTCAAATGACTTCTTGCCCAGCAACTCTTAAAGTGACATGAGGATGGGAGGCATCTTATGCTTCTCTGTATCCCCACCTTCATAAGCCTAACTTCATATCTTCGACGGAGGCAATGTCTGGTAAATAGTTTCCGAGAGCTTTACTTCATGTCACACAGTTGTGTTGAAAGCTCAGGCTTGAAATCAGACCTAGATTAGAATCTCAGCTCTGAATGCTAGTTAAATAACTTTGAGGAAGTCCTTACGTCCCCCAAATCTTGCTTTTCTTATCTGAGAAATTAGAAAAGTACCAGTACTGACTCAGGATGGTGTTGTGAGCTAAGTGAGACCAGGAATGCACTGTGCTTAATTAGCAAAGGGTTTGGTCTGTGATACAGTTTTCAATGAAAATCACTGATGACAATGATGAAGATGATGACAATTCTTCAGATATAGACCAGACCTGGATCAATGCCAAGATCCAATGGCTAGCATTTATTGACACTGTGACTACCCTGAGAGAAATTCACTCACAGAAGAGTATTTTCTTGCTCTATGTGACACGGAGAAAGACAGATGCCATCATGTCCCACCAAGGCTGTGGCAACTAAGAGACAGAGCTTTAATTAATGCTTTATACAGTTCCTTCCTAGGGTTGGTTCTCCCACATCTGTTGCTAAGCACTCAGCACAGAGTGACGGCCCATCAGCCTCACACTGGGGTGATCTGGAAACAAAAGCAGAGGGTCACTGGCAGCTGCT